TTTATTAAAATAGTTTTGTTTTTTTGTTTTATTTGATTTTTTTTTTTTGTTTTTTTTTTTTTTTTGTTAAGCTTTTATTTATGTATAGATATGCATATTTGAGGGTAAGACTCATTACATCCCCCCTGACTAGGTGTATCTTTTTATTTTTATCAATAAAATTCACTCGTACCGTTGAGTTTTTAAGGTAAGTTTCACCTCCCTGACTTTTGAATCCTGGATCCGCCACTGTCCCTAGTGTTTAGCTTCTGTAGCTATAAATGATATAAATTTAGTTTTTCTTTTCTTTTTAACAAAAGCAATATTGGGGAGAGGGAATAGATTTTTTAGTTTGCTGAAAATTATAGCCTTGTAAATTGCTGGTAGTTTTTATTATTTAAATTGAAAGAACAAAAAAATTGGTTAGAGGTTTAGCTTGCCCAGCCAAAAATGGCAACTGCTTAGGCTATTTCCAGCCATGGGTTATATCCCAAATATAGCTCTAAAATAATGCAAAACCGATCTCCAGCTATGGGCTAAACAAAATTTTGGTCAAATTTGGAGGGCCACATTGGCTCTTTAGCCCTCAAACCGGGCCAAATGTAGCTCAACTTTGGCCTAGGCCAAATTTGTAATGGGGCTCATCCATGTGCTTTTCAACAGCCAATATTAATATATATAGATTTTTAAAAGCCTTTTGAATGTTTCAAATTGTAGTGTTTAAGAAAAAAGTAAAAAAAAATTGTTGACAATGATGTTAGAGGTCAGACCTACCCACTCCTTTATTTTAATTTTTTTTATAATAAAAAAAATGTGGTCAGCTTTTCAAATCTTTTCAAGTATTATTTAAAAACATTTATAAAAAAGTATTTTTCATGACCTTGGAGCTCAAACAATGAAACCATCCTTTTTTTTCTTTTTGTCTTCACATTTTTAAATGTTTGGTATTGTTTAAAAAAATTATAAAAAATTATGGGTCATGGCCATTGAAGGTTAGACCCTTGAAACCCTTCCAATTTATTTCTTTTTTAATTGCCTTTGTTGGCTTTATTTTTTTTAAAAAAATAGTAGTTTAATTAAATTAAACAATATATGGTTATGGAATGTATGAGTGTTGTATCATAGTTTTTCTCAAAATAATAAAATATGAAGGACCCTAAAATATAGTCATGCATGGCTGGAGATGGAAAAATTTAGCCCTGCACTATTCTTTAAAAAAGTAGTATTTTAGGGGGCTAAATTTTTAGTCCTGAACTACATTTAGCCCTACGGCTGGAGATGGCCTTATCATCTGCCACTTTGGTCGAATGAAAACCTGTCCAGAAATTGCGTTCAGTGTTCTCATTATGTTCACTTTTCCATTTTGTATCAGTACATGTAACATTTTATTTTACAGTTCAAATGCGTAACCAAAATGAGTTCCCACCCTTTCATATACAAAGCTTGCCAATGACCGGCAAGTAATGAAGAAAACACTATCAAGTGTACAATGCAACAGAATTGAGTTCGGGTACTTTTTATTTGCACATGACGAGTGATCATAAATAACAATGTTGTCGTCCATTCCCAAGCTACAGCAGAGCTCATCTCAATTTACAGCGGCGAAGAAACCACCCCTCTTTCACATTTGAACGGCGATGACTTGTTAACCTCTGTTGTCGAATCAGTTTATAAAAAGGAAACGTTAAATGCAAGCCACGGTAGAAAGCAAGAAGAAATATGCAAATCTTGTGTGTCAACCCATCACTATCATTTGTTTTAAGATAGGTACGGGAGGACGATGAGCAACTTAGCTGAGTATGCTTATGATGTTTGAACATGTCAATTTTACTTCAAAAATCAGCACAGTAGGCAAAACCAGAACAGCAGTGACCATTAATAGATACTTACAGAATTGATAGTCAAATCAAAAAAACTGAGAGGACAAATACAAAGTGCAATTCTGGTAATATCAAAGATTTTACCAGAGCCACAACCAATAAACCCGCCCAACCAAAGACTCCTCTCTTTTCGCTAGTACAATACAAACACTAGAACTTCATTGAGACTTTGGTTCAGAACTTACTGTTTCAGGAATGTCAATGTCATACTCTCAATGATCGACACCCTCATCAAGGCCTTTGGAACTGATCATCACATTTGAGTCAATTTGTTTGTCGAACTTCTTCTTCCTCCTTGCTTCATACTCTTGGAATCCTTCCATCTAAATTTTTATCTCAGGGTAAATGTTCAAATCTACATAGAAAGTATTGCTGGGAAAAAAAAAGGACAGAATTAAAACAAACATCAGGAAAATGTGGCATACCTGCTGAAACTGATCCATTGATATAGGGTTTCCATGCAGGGAAATATTCTGCAGAGCTTTACAGTCTTTCAACAGATTAGTAGGTATCTGTCAAACAAGAGAGTTATAAATTAACACAGGCATGGCCAGCCACAGAAAAATTCTAGAAAAAATTAACATCCAAAAGTAAATGGTGAGTGAGTGGTGAAGGGGCTGGCAGTCATATCTGCTAACCACTAACAACATCCAAACTTAAATCTATAAATTAGTAGAACCAGTAAAAGATTTCCTTCCAGGGAGCCATGTCTCGATCTAGCCATCACATTACATTACAAAACTGTACTAAGCACCCATTTTAAGACGGGTAGGGTTAGGGGGAGTTAGGGAGCACATGGAAACCAAAAGCCCAAGAAATACTCCAACTAGTCATCTTTCATGTAGTTAAGAAAGCCAAATGAAACTCGTGTGATCTGTACAAGCTATACCTGCTTCACATTATTATTGTTTAAGCAAAGTGCCTTTAAGTGGACAAGGTTGCAGACTGATTCAGGAAGATCTTCAATTGAATTATCTGAAAAGCAATCCAGAATCATGAAGCTTTGAGTGGTAAAAAAAAAATATAAAAAAATTACAACCTTAGAACCACATTAGAGAAAGAAAAAAAATCAACCCATAATCTAAAAATTGAACACAGAAAAAACCACATAAAACGGACATCAACTAGTAGAACAAAAGTCTAAACATACCATCTGCTTGTAATTCTTCCAGAGAGAAGCAACTACCGATGGATTCTGGAAGAGACTTTAATTTGTTGTTCGATACATTTAAAAGCTTTAACTGCATTAAACAATCCATTGTTAGATCCTGGATTTCACAAGAAATACTAAATGTTTGATATTCAAAAATGTTAGAAATCGAATTAAGATTCCATTAATGTATTTTCCAATGATTTCTTTCTCATCATCATCATCATCCTTGCTTTTGTCCAATCATATGTGGTTGAGCTACATGAACTCTCATCTTTCATTCTTTTTATTATATTCAGTATCTCCAATTAAATCTAACTGTTCAGATATCTTCATATTACTTCTTCTATCTTCTACGTTAACTACCG